TTTTACTAAGAGTTATGCCCTTCCAAAGTTGGGCAAAAATATTGAAAATTCAAAAATTGACTATATGAATAGTACACTTTGTCAAATTTTTTGGTACAGTTCTAGATCAAATTGAGTCCAATGAATATTTTTGCTCCATAGAACTCTTAGCAAGCTTCCTGTGAAAATTGAAACCATCCCATTTTGAGTTTTCTAGAATTAGTTATGAATTTTCAAAGTTAACCCAAATTCAGATGAATAGTGTACAAACATAATTAAACTTGAAATATTGAAATTGAAATTTTCATCTAGAAAAGCTGCGAAACACGTTATAATGGTTCCAATTGATGTATAATGGAATATTTAAAGGAGGTGTGGCAATTATCGAGAGACACGAGCTGCAGATTGGCATTTTCTTTCTCTCTTGAAGAGTTTCTAACATCCAATCCTCAATGGCACTTATATTCCATTCATCGCTACTGATGCACTTCCTAATCATGAGTAGCTGAATTTCTTCATTCATCTAGAAATCCCTACCTGAAGTCAGAGTTCCAGAGCATTCACGAAGTGACTCCATAGAGTTGAATATCTACATTTCTGCATCATTCAATCGTAATAGTGTGTATGATTGACTGGATTGTTTGAATACTAGATTAGCTTGTTAATTCTAACTTTGATCTTTTTGAATCTAAGGCCATCTAAAGTGGTCCCAATTGGCAAGAAATGGACCTTAAGGATGGAAAATAATGATATTTATGTTAGAAAAGTGAGAAAGAAAACCCTTAAATCAAGAGAAAGGGTTGAGATTCAAGAGAGCAGGTCTTAACCTTTGTGTGATTTCTTGCTCCTAATGAGTTATGTGAACCTTATGGCTATGTTTAGGACCTTGGACTATCCAAGAGGATATTTGATGATGTTGACCAAAAGCCTTAATGGTTGGGAAGTCAAGGGAGTCAAAGGAAAAGCAAGAGGAAAGCTTGAAGTATAAGGTAGTGAACTTACGTATTATCATTGCTTGATGTTGTATGCTTATGTATTGATATGTGCATGATGTTTGAATGTTATTGTGGCATGTTTTGGCTGCTGTAATTGCTATTTATGATGAGTAGATTATGTCTCCATGACCATGCATCAAGAAGGTAGCATTAAGCATGCTAATATGTCACTAATTAATAAGAGAATAAGCAAGTTACATGTAATGCATTAGCATCCATGTAACATGATTAATGTGGTATTGTTTGCTACTAAGATTCCTGCAAATCTCACCCTCTCTAACCAACCATTTAGGCCAATCAATGACGGGCAATAATGGCATGAGAAGCAAGGAGAAAAAAGTGGAGAATTATTCATGTTAATGAATGAGATTGTTGATGGATGTATAATTCTCCTATTTTGTAAATTATGTTTATGGATGCCAATGATGCCATGTAATTAATTATAATATTTATGGCATGAATGGAAATGTATGAGAATATGTGAGAAAGAATAAGCCCAAGTTATGCATGCAAGGCAATAAAAAGAATTAAAGTAAGAATAGGTAAAGAGGAAAACGTAGGTCCTAGAATAGTGAGTTTGTAGCTCCAGTTTGACCCAGTAAATGGAGGAAGCTGATCACGAAATTTGGTGATCATATAATACACATTCCAAGCTTTAAAATGAGATATAGACCACCTCAATTGGATGTGTACACAAGGAGATATGAATTTTCAAAATTGAGACAAAAAGTCTGAAATTTCTAAAATTTAGCAAATGAACAGTAAAGTTTAATGAATAAACTGTATGAATTGGGGAAGGATAAATCCAGTTTCATATTTTTCTCTTGTGGAGAATTGAAAGAGCTCCGAGTAGAATTTTGAATCTCTTCAATACAATTTTTATAGAATTGGCTATGATTTTTCGAAATTAGACATGTAGTCTGGAATTTAAATAGTGGATAGTAACCTAAATAATTATATAGAAAATTTCAATTCACAAGCTTGTTTTGTGATCCCCTTGAATCGTAACGCTTACAAACACATACTCTGAAGGGTTAAAGTAAGGACGTTACATTAGGTGTAATATGATTTATATTTAGATTAATTTTTATAAAAGAAAAGGCAAGTTTAGATGTAAAATGACTGAAAAGAACATGAGTTTTATAGTATATATAATTTGATAAATTTAAGAAAAATAATAAACTAAGTTAAAAATTATAAAAGCAAAAAGAGTCAAAATATTATTAAAAAAATTTGTAAGTATTAAAAACTAGTTAATAAGATGCATTGAGTAATAAAAAAATGCAAATACAAAATGGACAATACTTATATTAAGTTCCTTATATCTATTATGTGAAATTATCTAATTACACATAAATGTGTGTCCTATTTTTAAAATATTAGCATTTAATTATAAGCTCACCAAAAAAAAAAAAATTGAGACACGTGTGTTTAATTGGAGAATTTGATATAATAAATATAAGAAACTTGACCTAGGTATTTTTCATATAAAATTGTTATTGAAAAAATTTAAAACTAACAAAATTAATTAAGTATATTTAATGTGATTTTTGTACATATGATTGTTGAATATTACTTAATTTTTACAGATTTTTAGAGTCTAACTGAAGATTAATGATGGTGATCAATTGGGTTTAGAGTAAACTCTCATAATTAAATATTATCAGTTAATTTTTTTCTTCTTCTATGTGTTTATAAACATTAAATTATTACTAAAAAAAATAAAATTATTGAATGAAGGTGGGACCCATTTAAATACCTTTTTTTTCCTTCTCATTCTCATTTATTTTCTCCTTTCATATTGGAAACTGGAAAAGCTCAAATTTTTTGCCCTTTTTTTCTCTCCAAAACCTCGCTAGAGGAAAAGCCAATCCAAACAAGTGTCATAGCAACCCTCTACTTCACTATTCACATTATTCAAGGCATGTTTTGTGGTTTCAACAGTAATCCAAACACATGCTATAACAATGTGAAAAGGTCGCCCTTTCTAACTGCTTGGGTGCTCATCGCGCCAAAATGAGTCATTTTAGTGCTAAGTCACATTTGTTAGGCTTGTACTGTTTAGAAAGGCCCATTTAAAATCTCTCATAAATTGGGTCGGCCCATTTGACTAAACTGAAATTAAACATTTAATTTTTGTTATTTCATGGTGTAACAAAAATAAAAATAAACATAAATAACAGCAGTTGACTTAAAATAATTTGATAATATTTTCGGTCTTTAATATAAGAATTAGTTTAACATCCAAGTTAGTCTTAAGTATAAAATCTTAATATACTTTGTCTTTCATACTTACTTCTTATAGGAATTGCACACGTTAAAGATTTCATCGAATGGTAATTATAGCTAAGATACATAATTAGTAAAAGTATTTTAAGAAATACAACACTTACTTATTACAAATAACTAATTTAATTAATTTTTTTAATCTATTTAAATTAGTCAACTAGTTTTTATATTAGGCGTAGTATTATTTTCAAACCAAAACAAAATTTGGCATTTAGGGCCCTATGGGACACCGTATATGATAAGACCGAATAATTTTTTGATGCTATATTAATTTTGGTGTGGCACTATACAGCACGGTCTCTCAACTTTCCTTCTTTTTTTTTTCATTTTCCTTCACTCTCCATTTCAACAATAAAATTACAATTTAAATAGTCCAGATTTTATATTTTATAAAATTATAAATAAAATATTAAATTTTTTAAATAAATAAATAAAATTAAAACTATTAAATTTTAGTCATGATAATTTAAAACAAAAATAGAAAAATATCTTATTTATAAATTTATAAAATATGAAATCTGGAAGTTTTAATTTGTAATTTTAATGGTTGAGATGAGAAAGGGATAGAAACTGAGGAGAGGGCCGGCAGTCACAGGAGGATATACCCTTATATACTATTTTGTGTTTGAAAATGTACAATATAATATTGGATAAGATATAAAAGCTGGATAAAATAAAAATTAAATTTTTTATAAAAAATTTATTAAAAGTTTAGGTATATACTTACATTTTCCATAATATATTTGTTTCAAAAATATTTTTATTAATAATAGGACAATGAAAATTTCATTAATTTTTAATTCATCAAAATTATATGAAATTCTAAAAGAAAAAAAGTAATCTAGTCTTTCTGGACAATTATATCTTTGCCTAGACCGGCACACTTTCATATGCCGAATATGGTAACTTCTTTACTTGAACCAACAGCCTAACCTGTGTCAATATCCTTTACGTGCAAGTTAAAAGCATACTACTTCCTGGTAATGATATAAAAGCTGATTAACTAATTTAAATAAATTAAAAAAATTAATTAAGTTAGTTATTTATAATAAATAGGTATTATTTTTTTAAAAAATATCCTTACTAATCATATGTATTATTTAGAATTACCATTTAATAAAACATTTAACATATGCAACAATTACCAGAATTACCTTGAGAAAAAATAGATAAATATGAAAAATAAAATAGATTGGAGTATTGGATTTACGACTAAATTAAATATCAAATTAGCTTTTATATTACGAAGTGGAGGTAGTATTAATAATTAATTTATATAAAAATTTTACATATTATAATTTTCCTGAATTTGATAAAGAAAGTCAGAAACACTAGTTTCCGTCGGATCAATACCTGGTTGAATCAATGTGTATTTTATTCCAGCTATACCGTGCATGGATATGTATTATATCTGCCCAAAGAAGCTATTATATTTTTTATAAAAATAAAAACTTATTCAAAATTCAACGTGAGACCTATTCAAATATCTACCAATTCATTATATATCCCAATCACAATCAAATGGGAATGGTTCTGCTAGCTTTATCCTCACTAAAATGAAGTGAGATTAAATTGCATTTGTGTGAGATTAATATTAAAGTAAACTAAAAGATAAGGTACGAAGCATATTTTTTTCGTTAGTCAAAGATATAAATTTCAACATAAACATGATATGATGACCGTTGACTTAAATTTGATAAGGTACTCTATGCTTCATGCATGCGTAATCAATTTATTTAATAATCCCATTTATTATTATAATAATAATCTCAATCGATACACAAGAGATCAATATCACATTCTAGATATACCTGCAATGCCCTTTATTTGTATTTTCCAGCTACATAATCATATAAACAACAATTATACTGAACACAATATAGTAAAAAAGAAAAGAAAATTTAATGTAAAGTCTAAATGATATTAGAAATCGGAATTATTTTTTAATATTAAAACTACTGTCAAATTTCACAATAAAATGATTATCAGTACTTTTTAATAAAATGAAGAAATTTGACAGTAACTTTAATTCCAAAAAATAACTCTGATTTTTAAAACCATTTAACACAACTAGTTAGGGATATGAAGTCTCAAGAATTTCAAGAATTGAAAATAAAAGATGTTCAAGGGCAAAACGCAACGCTGTAGCTGGTTCCTCCTGGGCAAGTGAAGGTGCTGGTTGGATCGTCCATGGGGTAACTATAAGCACTAGGGCACCTGTCCTTGAAGAACCTGGAATACGCGGTGGCCGTACAGTTCCTTGATCCTGAAGTACAGCAATATTGATCTGACCTAAACACTGTGCATGGATTCTGACACCCTCCGGCAACCTTCAACTCCCCTGGGCACTGCTCATCGATGCCGTTCCCGGTGCACCGGATCGTGTTGTTGCAGGTGGTAGCGTCTGGACTGATCTCTAATGGCAAGTTGAACCCATTGACCAACGAAATATCGAAGAAATCCATGTTGTTGTATTGGTTCAACGAGAATTCAGCCAGTGTGTTTGGAGGCGTACCGGTTTGGTTGCACTCAAGGAGGCCGCCACAGTCTCCGGTGAGACATGTTCCCTGTCCCGATTGGTTGAAGCTACAGTTGGTTCGTGGCCAGATGCGAGCCTGGGACGTTCCGGCAGCTATGTCAAGGTCCCAGCTTTCCCCGGAGTTAAGCCTTCTTCCTCCACCAGGGAGAGCAGCCGCCCACACGGTGTAGGAGCAATTGTTTGAGATGGTGAACGTGGCGGCTCTGGTAGAGACGAACATGAGGTTTATGAGGAGGAAGGAGAAGATGGGACTGGTTTTGATGATCGCCATGGTTGGAGTTTGAGAAGAAGTTTGAAGATTTTGCCCTGACGAATGCTGGGGTGATGGAGTTTTATATTTGAAGAGGGTGATGAGTTTAGAAATGGAGACGTGTGAGTTTGGTTTTCGTTATTTTGAAAATTCATAGGATGATGTGTTAATAATGGTTCAACTTCTAGATAAATTATATATGGTTAACACTAGTCAAGTCCTTTGAAAAAAGTATTTTATATGGAAAATATAAAACTGATGAATTTTACTGGTCCAACTAAGATTGGATTAAAGTATCCATTTGTGTCTTTCTCGCAAAATACTGTTCATAGTGATCACTTGAATTCTGATGAATTATTCGGAAAGTTGGTCCTAATATAAAGCAATATGAATATTTTTGTTCAATGAGGTTTTTATTTTGGTTATTAAGAAAATGTTAATTTTAACAAATATTGTTCAAAATTCAATCACTTATTGGACGTTTCGAAGTTCATCTCCCTTCCTATGGATAAGAAAATTGGAGGACCGCGAAGGAAGATAAAAAAGTAGCTTATATTTTTAATCCCCAGTTAAATATCATATTATTATTTTGTTAATGTTTATTTTTATTGAATAAAATAAAACAAGAAAAGGATATATATATATATATATATATAGTTGAAATAAAAAATGCTAATTTTTCCTTATTTCATCAGTTTCTTTTACTTTAAAAAATTAGTTGGCTTGGAAGACCTTAAGCTTTGCTTGCTTTTACAAGTTTATGATCATACGTCACTATTGCAAATTTCCTACGAGGCAGGCATTTGTTTTCTCAAAAGGGAAGAAAAATCAACGAAACCGTCTTTAGAGAAATGAAGAACCCTTGAATATTTTTTTATGCAAACACACTTCCTTTCACATGGATCAGCCCAGATTAACGGTTCTTTTTTATAGGAGGCATGATAAAAGAAATTAATTATTGGATCTCTTGTAAAATGTGTATGTCATACTTTATTCTCGTTCCGGTCCTTTTTGTTGTGGGCCAAACAAAAAAGACAATTATTAATACCCAAGTATGAGAGCATACAAAACTTTTCCAAACAAAATAAGGAACACATGCAACTCAAAATATATTAGAGCAAACAGAACCGGACTAAAGCTAGAAGACGTGAACAAATAATGTTAGTGTTTCAGGCCTACCTGGAATATAAGTAGGTTTTTTTGGCACACACGCATGATCCGATTACAAGGATGGAGTCGGATTATGGATATACAGCAAAGCATAGAGAAGAAAGATGAAGGAGAGAGATATGAGAGAGTAGTGGAGTGTTTTACAATATGTGTATCTGGAAAATTGCATTCAGTTTTTGTTCCTTAAATCTCTCCACTCTCATCCACAATCACGGTTCCTACCATGCAAATTTGCAATGTTCAAAAAACCAGACTGGACCAGTCAGTTTAGACTGAAAACTAGTGAACCGGCTAGTTGTTCGGTCCGGTTTACCTCCTAAACCTAAAAAAAACCCAACCCCTCATAACTCGGCCTAAACCAGAATGGGTTGGAGAAAACCAGGATAATCCATCGGTTTGGCGGGTTATACTGGGTTGCTTATGAGGAAGGAGAAGAGAGGGAGAGGAGGAAGAAGTACAGATCTGAAAGATAAAGGAGACCAAAGTAAGAAGGAAGAAAAGTGATGGTCACCATCTTTCGCACGTCGTGAGAGTTCTTTCGTTATTGCCGTTCTCCTCTGGTAAGAGCCGATTAGATCTAAAGTGAGAAGCCATGGAAGTTGTGAAAGAAATGGTTACCCACACAATAAAGAAGAATGAAGACACAAGCTAACATTGAAAGAAGAAAAGTCTGGCACTATAGGTTGTGTAGCCTTTAGAGTGTTGAAGACTTAAGAAGTAAAGTAAGAGAAAGAATGAAAAAAAAAAAAGAAAAAAAAATAAGGGTAGGTCACGTGAAGGAGATAGGAAAAAGGTCAAAAGAAGAAAGAATTTATATTTTGTGTATATATAAGGGATGAAGAGACAGCTCGGATATCTTAAATAAGGTTAAATATTATATTTTTATATTTAAATATCAATGTTTTATATATTTTAATTAAATTAAATTATTTTAATAATTACCGGTTTGATTCCGGTCTAACCTTGATCTGACCCACTAACTCTTGAACCACTACCTCAACCAATTCAATACCCTGTCCGATTTTTTTAACCTTGCAAATTTGAGTGGGATGGTAAATATTATAGTGAAGACCCATATTTTCTTTTTATTTGCATTTTGATCCCACTCTAGATGGGTCTAGGCCTAATCCACCAAGAGTGGATTAGCCCTGAAACATCTGTTATTACACCCTATATAGTGCACATTTGGAACGCTATGGCTTAGGTGAATCATGAATTAAGCCCATGGATTGAAGACTTATATTTTAATTCTCAAGTTACTAGTCATTTGGTAAATTCTGGATTTTTTGTCATACGAAAAAAAATACTCATTGGGTCATTTACTTACCCATTTAATAAAAAAAAATATGTGAATGGTATTGTTCATATGGTCAAATAGTATTTATAGCTTTTCTGTCCTAACTTTGAGCAATCATAACTTCTAGCATATACATCCATTTTACTCTCAGTTTGAAGCTCAGGATGTGTACTAGTTACTCACAAAATATCATGAGCAGATTCATTCATTTGCTTTACTTTTGCTTTGTCTTACTTTCATTGCTCATTGCTAGAAGGTTTATCCCTTTACTTTAAATTAGCATGCTATAAACAATCATTATCTTGCATGCAACCATTCCAAAATTCCATTAATCATTCTCATATATCATCATACTCAATCTTACACACCATTTTCATCATTCATCATTATATAACATTAATTGGCATATCTAATCATACATCAACACAAAGAGAAGTCATTACATAAAATAACATAAGAACATTTCTTCAATTCTCCCCTTTATTCTCTTAATCTACATCTTGTATTCTTCTTTCATGGCCAACATACATATTATGGCTAGTTAAGAGAGGGTGAGATTCAAAATAACTCAGTAGCAAACAATTACTACCTAAACATACATGGCATAGCTTAACATTTATTACATGCTTGCAAACTTAATAGTTTCATAACATAATGACATATTTAGAAACTATCATGCATTAATTATAAATCATATAAGCCTATGACATGCTTCAAATATTATCACCTACACAATGAGTTCATAAAGTTACATAAACATAACAAACATGTCATATATGCAAGCAAATACCAAGCATATAAGAGTAGGGTAAAATCTGCTATTTTTAACGTGTCACATTATTTCTCTTGCTCTATTTGCAACCAACCTTTAAAATTGCTTGACTAACCTTTCCCTTTCATCTTCTTTCATGTCACATGACTCTAATTACATTAACACATTATATTATTCACCTATTAGAGCCATAACAGTAAGTTTCAGGCATAGCTCTCTTGAATATACTTTAACCTCTAACTTTTAAACTTTCAACCTAATCCCTTTAAAACTAATTTCACATGCTATGCCCACATAAGTTTGCATATATAATCCACTTCTAAACTCAAAATTAACAAAATCTAATTCCTTTCTTTAGAACTTAATGCCAGTAAATGCATTAGAATAATGAGTATTGTTAGCATTTTTGTTATTGTTCTTTGCTATTGAGATTTCTATGAAATCTCACCCCTTCCCTATCCAAAATGACACAATCTAGGGGTTGGACATTCTAGAAACAAAGTCAAGGAAGTGGAGTTACCATCAAGGAATACATGCTTGATTATGAAACTTTGAAGCATGCTTTAAACTTTGTGAATTTGTAAATTGATCATGGATGATTGTATGAGTTAATAACTTCACTTTGATGTAAAGTATAATAAGTTATAAATATGTATTGATATATATGATGAAGGACTTGTATGGCTTAATTATGGCATAAATGCCTAAAGAATGGTATTAAAAGGGTAAGAAAATGAATTAAAATGCCATAACTTAGTGAGCATAAGATCCTTAGCAGGTGGATGAATCTGGCGATGATATTTTTGTAGGCTAAAAGTGCTCATCTTAAGCTTTAAATACAGTAGTAGATCACCTAAATTAAAGTTATGTATGAAAAGTTATGAATTTATGAAATTATGGTAAAAAATTTGAAAAGAAAAAAATTTACCAAATGAATCGTATATCTTTGGGCTAAAATAGAACTTGAATGGTAAGGCTATGAAACCTAGTAAGCATGTTTCCTATGCAAAAAATTGAAATAGTTTCAAATAAAGTTTGGAATCACCTCATTTTAATTTTTTTAGTATTAGTTATGAATTTTTAAAATTGGCCAAAATTTTAGGATTACCCTATGAATAGTAACCCATGAAAAATTTTGAAAACTTGATTTTCTAAACTTGAGGTTATGAAATATGGTTCCTTTTACTTCTATTTGATAACTTATATGACAAAAAAAAGAGACGTTACAACACCTCCATCAATTTTGTAATGTTGCACCGGATTAGATAATTTTTTGGGTCCTAAAACATTGATGAAACATCTATTCTTTTACCCTTTTTAGTAAGTATTTTGAAGCACTAAGTTTCAAGTGAATAATAAATTAAGCTAATAGATTAAAATCTTGCATTTTGATTTTCAGGTTACTATTTATCTGGCAAGTTTCAGATTTTTGGCCTAATTTTGAAAAATCATAACTAATTATAGAAAAATTGTATTGAGGTGGTCAGGCCTCCATTTAAAGCTCTTTTAATTCTCTACAGGAAAAAAATATCATTGGCTCATTTATTGACCATTTAATACCAAAAAAGCATGTGAAGTTATACTATTTATATGGTCAAAATTGTACTTTATAGTTTTTCTACCCTAAATTTGAGCAATTATAACTTCTAGTATACACATCTATTGTAAATGATCTACTACTCATTTTAAAGATCAAAATATGTACTATTTACTCATAAAATACCATGACTAGATTTATTCATTTGCTTTATTTTTTTTCTTTGTCTTACTTTTATTGCTTTATGTTAGAATGTTTATCCTCTTATTAAAAGCA